GGATGCATAATATTGGGAGAATTTGCCCAGCCTGCTTCTGTGAAACCTGCAGGGCTGGAAATGTGTGTGCCCCTGAGAAACGGTGAAAGTGACTAGTGCCAGGTGTCGCCATGGATGCGGCTGGGTGACCCTGCCCTTGCCCTGGAGGTGCCTTCACCCCCTAGAGGGTAGAAAGTTGTGCACAGGGCAGGGGAGGAGATGAAGCCTAGGTGTGCAAGGAATGTCACTGCCTAGAGCTTTGAGTGGACGCAGTGTCCTCAGGAACACTTGTGTCTTGAATTTGTCGTGTGTAAAAGAGGACAGGGGCTTAATGACAGGGTTTGACCTGACATCAACACACACATTAGAACAGGGCCAGATGAGCTGCCCATCTCTGGGGCCGCGGACACAGCAAGCAGGCTCGGAGCTCTGCTCTCAGAAGGAACTGCCCAGAGTCACAGGGGAATCGTGGCAGCTGTCTCTGGTCCTTCTGATGTTTGTGTTCTTAATCTTCTCCCTCCACTGTTCATCTAGCTCCGTCCCCCCATCCACTTCACTCCTGTGGTTGGCTGTGGGGTGTGATCTGGGATGCAGGTCCCTGTGTGGGATGAGGAGGCTGTAGTTCAGGGCGCTTCATCCTCCTCCTTCCCTGCACACCTGCAGGCACCAAGAATAGCTTCCAGACCCTGCAGATGAAGGCGGAAAACATCACCAACCCCTGGAGCCCGAGACACCGCCTGGTCCAGCTGACTCTCCAGGAGACCAAGTACTCCCGGGAGCGCAAGGCGGCCTTCCGCTTCGGACGGGCTCTGCCCAAGTACCTGCTCTTCACCAGCCCCCAGGAGAACCCCTGGGGTCACAAGCGCAGCTACCAACTGCAGCTCCACTCCTCAGCTGACCAAGTGCTGCCCCCTGGCTGGCAGGAGGAGAGAGCAGTCACCTGGGCCAGGTGAGGGAGTCCCCGGAGGCCGGGAGGTCTGGAGGCGCCTCTCCTCGTCCCTGTGTTTCCCTGTGTCCATGTGTGTCTGTGCTTCTGTCCATGAGCTTCTGAGTCTATGTGTTGGTGTCCGGGTGTGTGTGTGTGTGCGCCTGGCTCTACATTTGGGGAGGGGGAGCGCAGAGACCCTGCAGAGCCCCGGGCCTCAGCTCACAAGCAGTCTGGCTGACTCTCAAGAAGCAATCCCACATTCGGGGGAAGGTGCTAACTTTCCCAGGGAGGGGCTGGGAGGCGTCCCCCTGCAGCCAGATCCACCTGGCTTCTCTGTCCGGGCAGGTACCCCCTGGCAGTGACCAGGTACCGGGAATCCGAGCTGTGCAGCAGCAGCCTCTATAATCAAAACGACCCCTGGGACCCACCTGTGGTCTTCGAGGAGTATCTTCACAACAATGAGAACATTGAAGATGAGGTACCGGCCCCGCCCTCTCCCAGCCCAAGCCCCACACGCAGCCCCAGCCCCAGGCGGGCGAGCCCCGGAGTGCTGTGTGGGGAGCAAGCTCCACGGTCACCAGATTTGCCCCTTCCTGAAGCACAGGGCTTGGGGGGCTGCCCGCCCCTCTCCTCCCTGAGCGTCCTCAGCCCTGCCCGCTCCTTTCCCCTGCAGGACTTGGTGGCCTGGGTCACAGTGGGCTTCCTGCACATCCCTCACGCAGAGGACGTCCCCAACACAGCCACACCCGGAAACTCCGTGGGCTTCCTGCTCCGGCCCTTCAACTTCTTCCCAGAGGACCCGTCCCTGGAGTCCAGAGACCTCGTGGTCGTGCGGCCTCAGGAAAAAGGCTCCAACTACGTCCAGCGCTGGATCCCTGAGGAGGAGGGGGACTGCCTGATGCCTCCCCCTTTTAGCTACAATGGAACCTACAGGCCCGTGTGAAAGCGCCCCACCCCCCACCAACACCTGCCTGAAGCCCAAGGGCCCCCACCCCCCAGGGACAGACAACAAGCCCCTCAGGGCTCAGCTCCTGTGCTCTGAACACGCACCAGGCTGGCGTGTAGGACACACACAGACGAGAGGCACAGGCCTTGGCCTCCACTCCCCTCGGTCTCCTCCACCCCTGAAAAGACCTGCATCACTGCGGCAAGTGACACTCACTGAATTGACCAATCAGATTGGTTTAAAGAATCTGAGACTAGCAGCTCCTCTCGGGAGTCAGTGGGGCGCTCTCCCAGGTCGCTGATGGATACGTAGGGCAACCACAGGAAGACACGATGGAAAAACCTAGTGAAATTGCTAACACCTCTACCCTTGACACACTGATCCAACTTCTAGGGGAGATCTGCCTACAAACCCAGGAAAAATATATGCGGTGCTGTCTGTGCTAACAAAGTCTGGAAACAACCCAACATCCATCAGCAGAGATCCTACAGATTCTGGATAGACTATGGAAATGTCCGTACAACGCAATTTTAGGTGATTGTAAAAGAAACGTATGAACGAGGACATTCTCTGTACTGATAGGGAAAGAGCTTCAGGATACACTAAGCAAGAAAACAGAACAATATAGAGATGGCTTGCTAATTGTTGTGTAAGAAAGGAGAGGAATATATGTATGTGTAAAAACCCTAGAAAAATACACAAGATGCTAATAAACATGGTTACCTGTTGTCTGCGTCTGTTCGAGCTGCTATAACCAAGTGCCACAGACGAGTGGCTTAGAAACAGCAGCAGGTGCGCGCTCACCTAGTCACCGTTTCCAGGTTTGGGCTTGCGGCTTGCTTTCTCCGGTTGGTTTGGTTTTGCTTTGACTTCGCTGCACTGTCTTGCCTCGTAGCGGCTGCCCTGTGCGGCGTGACAGCGAGGACTGGGGAACGTCTGTGGACGTGACGTCTCCTCTGGTTGGCAGTAGCATTCCTCTCTAGCGCTTGGGGATTTAAATGTGACCAAGCCTTCTGTACTTTGTCAAAAAAAGCAGATTTTCCAGGTGATTCTTTTGGTGAATGTCAAAATGAGAATTTATGGTGTATTACTGTCAGTTCACTTTGAATTAAAATATATATATTGCCAAAAAAAAAGAAGTTTCATAGCTCTGGAGTCTGGAAGTCCAAGATCGGGGTGCCAGCATGGTCACATGAGGGCCCTCTTCTGGGTCAAAGACTTCTGACTTTTCACTGCATCCTCAACTGGCAGACGGGTGAGAGATCTCTCTGGGCTCTCTTTTATAAGAACACTCATCCATTCGTGAAGGCTCCACCCTCATGACAAGCAGCTCCCAGAGGCCCCACCTCCTAACACCGTCACCCTGGCACGGGGGTGGGGGGGGTGGACTTAGGTGTTCAGATCATGGCCCCTAAAGACAGAGGAGGAACGGGATGGACAAGACAGGGAACGGAGCAGGATTTCTTAGTGTAAACATTTCTGTGGCTTTTGTGGGCTTTTTCCTTCTTGAGTGAAGAGAGCCTGAGGGGTCCCAGGGTGAAGGATGCAGAGGGCTGGGTGATGGGGAGGGTGGGGTCTCCTCCCTCCCCCTAGAGGTCAAGGGAGCCTCCAAGTGTCCCAGCCACAGTGCAGCCCCATGGCTGTGGGTTCCCAGGGGCCATCACTTCTCACCTAGGTGCTATATTGTTTTTACTTTTTAATTGTCAAAACATATTACCTACTCAAAAAAGTAAAATCTAAATTTTAAAAGAAGGGCGGGAGGGAGGAAGGAAGGAAGGAAGGCGCTCTTATTGCTGCTGAACAGTATACAGCAGCTGGCGGGACGGATGAAGCCAACAGTGCCCTCCCCCACCCGCCCCACCCAACAAGACTTCCACATTCTAATCCCTGGGGCCTGGGGAATATGTGCCCTTCTGTGGCTGAACAAAGGCATTTGGCAGCTGTGATCAAGGTGAGGATTCTGAGATGGAGACAGTCTCCTGGATTATCCAGGTGGGCTCAATAGAATCACAAAGATTTCTCAGCATAAAGCTTCTACAGTGTTGTTGGGTTTTTTGTGGGCTTTTTCTTTGTAAGGGTCCTTCCTGGTAAGAGAGGCAGAGGGTCAGAGTGGAGAGAAGAAGCCACACTACTGGCTCTGGGGACGGAGGAAGGAGCGACATGCCAGGGGATGTCGGTGGAAAAGGCAAGGATTTTCCCCGAGAGCCTCCACTGGGCAACACAGCACTGCAGACTCTGGACTGTAAGAGAGCAACGTGCTGTTTGAAGCCACTAAGCTTGTGGAGGTTTATTTATAGCAGCAATAGGAACTAATACAATGGTTGTGGGTGTCCGCCCCGGGGATGGAACAAGTGAATCTTCTGCTGTCCCCACCCCACCATGGGTCCCCAACTCTGCTCAGAGCCCAGTCACCCAAGCAAACCCAGGACCAGGATCTGCGGGCAGGGAACCAGGGCAACCACGGGGAGGGGTCCGGGTCCTAGATCTTTGACTGTACATTAATGATATAGATTCCAACCTTTCCCCCAAGACAGAAGAGAAGGACAAGATTGGTTAAAGGGGCCCCAGCTGAGAGCAGGTTAGAAACCAGAGGACAAGAGGCTCCTTCACACGCATTTGCGGGCGGTGTGCATGTGTGTGTGTGTGTGAGACTGGTGCCTCTGCGCCCATACCGGGGGCAGCTTGAAGACAAAAATCCATGCCTCACTTTTCCTCTGTGTCTCTCATCGCAGGTCTGACGGTGTTGTACATTCAGTGGGTCCTCGTTGGTGCTTGTTGAGTGGCTGAGTGACGGACAGCCTAGGAAATGCAAACTCCTCGAATCCGCCTTTCTCCCACCCTGTCAAGTTTTTGTCTCTTGGCCCTAATAATAATTTCGGCCATTCCCCAGCTACAACAGCACTGATGAGATGGCAAGAAAGCCTGAGTCTCACCCCCAAAAAGCAGCCCCAAGCACCCAAAGTCTTGGTTCCTCCCCCTGGTGGTCCCTGCAGGCAACCCTCTTCCCTTCTCGTCCCTGGCGTCCACTTTTCAGCATTCCTCTCATTGCTCCTCCTTGCTCTAGGCATCACGCAAGCGTCCTCAAACACCATGTACACATTCAGGGCCACCAGCTTCACTGTCAGGCCACCCCCAGGCGGGGTAAAGGGGAACAACTGGTGTCCCCACCCAAGTCATTGCCCCAGACCCAAGAGAGAGGGCCCCAAAATATGCATGGCTCAAGAATCCTCATGACCAAAAGGGAAAAAAAAAAGAATCCTCATGACCAGCCTGACTGAGCCTCTGAAAACACAGGAGTCCCCAAGAAACCAAGTCCAGCTCGATAGTTTGGCCCAGCCAGCCAGCCCAGGGACCAGAGCTTCTTGAGAACAACCTCCCAGCACTCACGGGGCCCGAAGGTGGCAGCAACAGCACGAGGTCTCTAAAGCGGGAGGATCTCAGGTGGAGCATGGCCAGCCACGAAATCCTGGGGCTCTGAGCTCTTCATTGAAACTGTGCTGGTGGCCTTTGCCTAATCCTCTGGGCTGCCGTGCTGACCAAGCCCTCCACTGCTGCCATGTCCTTGAACCTTCTCTCTTGACATAAGCGCCTTCCAGAAGCTCACCTCCTCAGCTTCCATCCAAGCCAGCAGCTTGCCCTGCCGCGGACTGCTGTTCGCCAGGACCAGAAACACAATTTGTGAACCCCAAGTGAAAATGCCAGCCCTGGTTCAAAAACTAAGAATTTCAAGATGGTGACAACAGAAAGGTACACTGTGGGGTCATCTAGACAAAAGTCACACGCCCACGGGGCTGGCCCTGCTGCCCGCACCCACTGCCCACCTCAGCCACGTCCCCAGAGTGGCCGGCTGCTTCCTGGGCCCAGTAACAGCAGTCAGTACAGTATTACAGCAAGACAGCGCCTCCCAAAGGAACATGAATATTTATTAATTCAATATATTAGTTGCAGTAAATATATTATTTTGACCAAGTTTAGGCTTATTCAAAGAAGAGCAATTATGCACTTAACCCTAAGTTATCTCGGCAGTAAACGTTTTTAACTAAAAAGATATGATAAGTTAAACATTTTTATCAACAGTGTATTCTCCAAGGACTAATCCTAAACTCCTGGCCAGCTTACAGGCTATTTCTCAGAGCATATGTAGTAGTTGTCTCACTAATCTCTCCTCTTACATTTGTTCTGCTCTCCCAGTAAGGAGGGGATGTTTGAAATCCGTGTGATAATACCCCCCTGTGCAATAACTGACTCGCCCTTCTAAACAGCACAGTTCCCTGTCCTGGGGCCATTCCAAGCTCCACATCCCATAATCTGGACTTTCTAATGGGTGAAACCAGGATAAATCTGATAAAAATGAAAACATACCAAGTGTAGATGTCTGAGCCAAGGATTTGGTTAAGAAGTTTAAAAGACCCTTACTAAACCCTCAGGCTTATTTGCTAGGGCATCCAAAACTGGGTTTGCAGAAGGCACAGCATCCCCGTCACACCTGAGAGATCCCACGTTACAGTTCCCACGGCTACGGTAAAAACCGCCCCAGTTCAGTGGCATAAAATAACAAGTATTGATTGTGCTCATGAATTCTGTGGAACCTGGATCCAGACAGGACACACTGGGGAGGCTTGTCTCTGTTCCATGATCTCTGAGGCCTCAAAAGGAAGGATCTCAGAAGCCCGGGGCAGGATCACCTGGAATCTTCTTCCCTTATCTGTCTGGCACTTGGGCTGGGACGTCTCAAAGCCCGTGCTCAGGGGGGACTATCAACAGGGCACTTATGTGTGGCCTCTCCACGTGGCCTGGGCTTTCTCGGAGTAGCAAAACCACATCCATGTGGCTTCAAGATGACTGTTCTATACAACATTGTAAATCGATTAAAATGTTCAAAAGTTAAAAAAAAAAGAAGTGACTGTTCCAGCAAACAAGAAGATAGCTGCATACTTTTTATAACCCAGCTTCAAAAGTCATGTGACTTCACTTCTGCCACACTGTGTTGGTCAGTGCAGTCACCAACTCACCCAAACAGAAGGGGAGGAAAAACAGACCCCACATCTCCACGGGAGGAGCATTTATTCGCGCATAATTTTTGTAATCTTGAAAAATGCTCAATTATCAAAAGGGGGCAATCCTAATAAATGACAAATTAGAATTCAAGACCAGGAGCTATCAAAAGGGAAAAAGTGATGTGTTACTCCTACACATGAAAGGAGACTGGAGGCACATCAACTAATCACAATGTAGAACTCTCATTAGGATCGAAACTTGAGCAAAGAAAATCAAAATATTTCAGGAGACAATTGGGGGATTTGAGCTGTATATGCTCAAAAGAGGGGAGACACATCTTGATAAAACAAATATAGATGAAGGAGATAGAACTTAGTGCATCTAACAAGATTATCTCAAGTGCAAGAAGAAAAAAATACTTGGCACATAATTCTCAGAAATTGATAGATCAAGCAGATGAAAAACAAGCAGAGATACAGATTATCTGAACAATACATTTAATAAGTTCAAACTTATATACAAACCTCTACCCTCAGCAAAGAATGCATATGTACACAAAGTACATAGAATATTCATTTTAAAGGACCAAATATTTATTACAAAAGAAGTGTCAAATTTCAAGGAACTGACAGCATACAGACCATGTTCTGAGACCATGAAGGACATAAAAAAGAACTGAATAAGTAAAAAGATAACCCATGCTCTTTAACAGGATGGCTTAACATTATCA